CTCTGCCTAGCGGTGCTGGTCTACCAGATGGTCTGCTCCCAGCTGAAGAGGAATCCCAAGACCTTGCCAAATTATAGCTGTGAATCCTCTGCTTTGCACTGTTCAAACCCCCTGACTGATCTTGCCATGTTAGTGCTGCACTGTCTTGCCTTAAAGTGGGAGCATTAGTACTATTAATGTCTTGAGTGACTGGCATAAAATTATACCCATAACTGTACCTGCCAGAGAGCATCGTTATGTTATGTCTGTTTGCTACATTATGACCTACATTTGCACTTCCACTAATAACAGCATCATCTTGCCAATTTACATTTGATTCATATCTACTTGAACTAGAACTCAGAAAGTTCAACCTTGGATCCTGCCTTGTAATGGCTGGGCTAAGCTCATGGATATATGCCATAGGTATCACACCGAGTTCTTGCCCTGTGTTTTTACTATTATCATATTCTCCCTTACTTTTTACCATCTGTTCCTGTCCTGACAGACTGTACAAACCCTGGTTATCTGTCAAGGTGGATGGACATCTGACATCATTATAGAAAGTGGATTTGGAAAGGTATAGAGTCTGGTCTATGTTATTTCCCACACGGGTAGAAGGAAGTCTGCTGATAGTATTATAGGAATTAATGTCAGATTCAGCGTAGAAACAAGATTTTCCAATTCCATACCGTGGTGCACAAGACTCCATATTATTGTTGGCCCGAGGTAAAGATGGTGAGTTGATGGTAGTTAGTTCTTGATCACGCTGACGTTCGAAGCATGCTTTACACATGTAGCTAGTAAGAGCTGTGCCAAACTGATCACAACCAGGATTGATGCATTCTGATGGACCTTCAATACATGCCAGATCCTTCAGTTTCTGTTCCTCTTTCTGTCTGCGTTCTTCTGCCTGCTTCAGTTTGAGATCTTTGTCACGCTGGAACCTCTCATGTGCAGACTGCAAGTAATTACGCACCATCTCTTCCTGATATTCGTGTCGTTTCTCTGTATGCAGTACTGCACACAAAATGTAGTCCTGTGACCTTGAAACAAGGTTTGAGTTAAGTTTAGTAGTCTGCCTAACAGGACTCGATGGTACATAACTTCCTGCTCCATTGTTTTTCTTCTGTGAATTGTTTCTTGTCATTTTGGTGATGCTTCCCAAATTCTTTTTCAACTTTTTGCTCATTGATTTGCCAATGCTACCAAATTGTTTTGCAACCTAGAAAAACATCACAATTATAAGTAATAAATCTGTAACTTTTAAAAATTAAGTACATCTCAGGAAAATGTTGGAAGTTTGCAAGAAGATTTGTCTAGAAACAAACACAAAGAAAACCCATGTACATACTCATATCCCATCACTGAAACACAGTAAAAGATCATAATATAAGAATAGTTAATAAATCAATAAAGACAAAATAATTAAATACACTGGTACATTTAAGAAAATATTTTAAAGGTTTAAAAAATACACATACATACATGACAAAATATTATCAGAAGACCACAAATACTACAAATGGCACTTGCAATTTCCTGGGATGTATGCCTATACACATGCTAAAATGCAATTACATTTCTATATTCTCACAGAATTCAGTTATTTCATTTGATTTTTCTGAAGTTAGATCATATAACAAACTAAAATAGTTGAAATGCCAGATAAAAAAGAATAATCTATAACTCTGGTGTTTTATGCAAGTATTTCACAATGAATTTATTTAATCCTGGCACCACATTTTAACCAAACTTGGAAAATGAACACTTACCGACTGGAGCTGTTTTGCTGCCTTACTCCGGTTTGTGCCAAACATGTTTGAATCAGATGGATTATGAACAGCATCATCAGTTGTGTCAGTTTCTAGTACTTCAGAAAATTTCTTATCAATTTCATCTTCATCATTTAACAGATTGTTGAAGCTATATGCCTCTATTTCAGATGTAAATTCACTGTTCTCTTCTGACTTCGGTGTTGGAGGGATCAACACATTTACGATATCCAGATATTCACGTAACAAACCCAATTTATCTTGGTTTGCAAGAGTCAGCTTTGAAACAATATGTGGGTTGTTTTCATCCCTTCCCCAAACAAACTGTTCACCAGGATCTACACTAAATTGAATTGGCAGCAACTCATGGTCCGAGTCTGTCACAGGGATCACAGCTAGAAAGTAACAGAACAAGCTACGTTATTACCATATTTTATTCTAAACATCAAACATCAACATGGGAAATTCACAGGTACCTGCGTTTTCCATACTGTATTATTTAGAAAAAATTAAAGGCAAATTTTTTGTGAATACTCTCCATGATGATTGCTGTCATTTGGGTGTTTTTGTAGTTTGGTATCTGTATTATTTGTCATGCTTTGCGAATACCGATAAACTATTGAAGGAAACAAGGTGAACAGGATCATATTAAATGCACTGTTCTTAATCCATATTTGTTTATTTAATAACAATGTCAGCAACTCAGAAAATACAGCATTAAATGACAATGATAAATAGACTGGAGAGAACACGGCCTAATTTAAGGTACTAACACAGCATTTGCCCGGGAATGACTGAGAGAAACCATAAAATCCAGTCAGGATAGCTAATCTCTGGGTCCAAAATTAAAACTGTGACCTACTAAATATGAAGCAACACACTCAATCTGTTAAGAATACTTTTTTAATACCCTTTTCGCACAAATGGCTCCTTTTGTAGTTTCTTGATCTATTTAGACATCTGGCAGGACTCCTTAGACGAGTGATCAGCCCATCACACCTGTACACAGGACAGCACAACACAGAAAGACGCAAACATCCATGCCTTGAGTGGGATTTGAACCCATGGTCAGTATCCAAGCACACAACACCCACGCCTCAGACTATGCGGCCACTGTGACCGGCATAAAGAATAATGCTGCGAGTAATTTCACCAAACACTTTCGACTTTCTTGGTCTCTGTCCAGCTGAGCAGTACTGAAAGAGTCTACTTTTGAGATGAAGGTACCCATGAGGAAAACTACAGTTTCAAGTGGTTTTCTGGTATTAACAAAGTTCCACTTCTGTTACAGGTAAAGAAGGAAAAACCATGCACAAACATCCACAGTGGATCTGGCTGGTCCCAAACCCTAGAGCTTGGCTTTATGCATCTGTTGGTGAATATCACAACTTCATATTTCTTCCTACCTGGAGGCTGAGGCATTCTATCAGCAAACGTTTCCTTCTCCATGACTACAAGCGATGAGAAGTGAGCTGCATCATATGTAAGGACAAGTGGCGAACGGTGACAGTCAGCAGGAGAGCACTCTAGTGGCAGGTATATGCCTCCAAAGGGGATTGGTGCAAGATCTTCACCGTTGACATCCTACAGGAACATGATTTTGATATTTCTTAGCTAATATCAATTCAGAAAGGTTTTACTACATAATATAAGGTTTAACAATTAAAATAATTTCAGTGTTCTTCAACTAAAACTAAGTCATATTAATGTGAAAACAACAAACTTTTTACAAAATCAGTTGCTTGTTAACCAGATTTTCTTCAACATATGACCAAGAAACTGATGAATAAATCAAGTACGAGAGAATTATGAAGGTGAGAAGAGACTGCAATATGGTTTCAATGTAGATATGTGGTATGAGACACTAGTAGAACTAATTATGCTACATACAGTTCATCCATGCAATATAGATACGAAGTTTGAGTAGTGTCCTGTATGTGGAACTGAAGTACGTAGTTTGAAATATGATTTGAAATTACACAAACTTTTCCATGCGAAAAAACAAACAAACAAACAAACAAACTTGAACTTAAACTCTGAGCTTCTGGAGAACTTTTAATAGCGTTAAAATATCCATTTTATGAATGTGATCAGTCTACCATTTCTCTAACCCAATTATACAGAATACTTTGTCTGAAGCACCAAAAGAATAATACAGAATCACTGGAAAATAATGCCCATATTTTAAATATCTGATGAAATAATAGACTTAAGTGGCAACTTTCATTCTAACATACCAAAAAACTCAAACTATCATTCCTACGGTATCAGCATCATGACTAGTGTAAATTCATATCTCCTGGTGGCTGATCAAAAATAAGCAATTTTTTTTTTCATTATGCTACTTTTCACACAAATGACCAGGTACATAATTACGTTTCCAATATTTTGGAATTACAGAATGCTGCTGTACTGGAGACTGTGACATGGCATTTCCAAATGAATGTGTAGTGTAGTTAGTGCTTAGTCACATCACCAGACCTATCTTTTCTTTTAAGAAAATAAAATTAGTGGACACATATTTCTGGGTACGTTACAACTGTGTGGTCATCTGTAAATTGACACATATACATGTGAAAATGGCATGCCAATGACTTTCCTTAATAATGGCGTCCAGCTACATTTTAGCATACTAGAGCAGGGCGCTCCTTTCGGAGCTCCTAGGGGGGGTTGGTCAAATTTGTAAAACACAACCAACCTTGGTTAGTCCCGAAGGGGAGTTAGTTTAGTGTCTCATTCAAGTGTTTTAACCCCTGAGTAAGAAACTAAACTAACCCCCCCGAATGGGGGGTTTAAACACTTGACAAACCCCCCGAAGCGGGTTGGTTGCATTTTAAAATCTTGATTAAGACACTAAACTAACCCCCGTGTATAAACAAATATAAGGTGATATTGTTGATGACGTCATTTTTTGTCGACAACGATGGCTAATCCTTTCGGAGAGCTTCCTGTAATCTGATATTTTACTTCCTTACGTCGCTGATCAGAGGCCAACAGTTCTTGGTTAGTCAACTATCTACGTCCAACCCCACCCTTGCAAATCTTCGTCTGTTTTTCTACGTGTGTCGTTAATATGGTCTCGTTTATCAATGTAAGTGTTCCTTCGCGTTTCTTTATTTCTTAAATATGTCTGATGTTGTAGTTATTTACGTCGCTGTTCAGAGGTCAACAGTTCTTGTTCAGTCAACTTTTTATGTCCAGCCCCACCCCTGCAAATCTTCGTCTTAAAATCGATCATAAAGTCAGTTTTCATAATAGTTTTCGTAATCGTAATATATCGAATGAGTATCAATTTACCTTGTTGGAGTTGGTACTTCAAATACTTGATAACGTCTTCTTTCACTTTTCTGATGTTTTAGGCCAACTGTCAGTCAATATTCAAGAATGCTAAGTGCTCCTTCTGGAGCAGTGATAATGCAACTGGCTTGATATTTTTTGATTTCTTTGTTGTGAAGCGTTATATCTGTTTACTCGACATTGTTGTGTTCAACAACAATGCCATGTAAACAAATATTTGTTGACATTGTTGATGACGTCATTTTTTGACGACAAATTGGTTGACGACAACGAGGAATCACAAATTTTTATAGTAAGATATGTTCATACGAACAGACTTCCTTTTGGAGCTATATTACAAACACGTCTATTTGAAGACAATACATGTCACTGTAACAGATATACTGAAATCAGTATGAACAAAAATTGAGTATTATCTGGAAGTTTCCTATGTTACAAATGGTGTTCACCCTTAAGTCTACTGAAAATGACAAACTTCAAAAGTTTCTTGACATTTCAAAACAAATAGCGGCATTGTATATTAATTAATTCATTAAATATAACTTTCTAAAATAGGTTACACTTTTCCATCACTCTGTACACAAAATTTCCAAGCATTTGCATCTAACAAATCAGTCACATACCTAAGCAGTTGTACACATACTGGTTTTCAATAACACTTTGTCAAAATGTTTTCCATAAAACATAAAAAAATGCATATGTTTTGTTAAGATACCAACTGGAAAAACAGTAAATATATTTTACCAAACTCAATACATACACAAAAAATATAAATATTTACATTAGTGTATCACAAAAGGAGTTTCTGTAATTAATATTTACCTTAAGCATAAGGTCAGCAATGACAATGATGGGTCGTCTTAGAACATGAGCCAGAGCTAATACATGAACCTCTTCCAGACTCTCATAGGTTGCATTTTCCGACACTTCATCCCTAAAGAAATATATATTAAAAACACAGTAAATTGAAGAGGGCTGTCTGTGCTGTTTGTTGAAACAGCCTCTCTTAACACATCTAATTTCATCATGAAGTGTGGACAAATTTAGATTTACTTTCATTTCATCTATTACTTAATTTGCACGATTATACATTAACCTTTAATCTGGCTAGAAGTAAATATCCTATATATAAAATGAAATACATAAGCATGACACCGAGCATGAAACCAAACAAAAGTTATAATCTGGGAACAATATTAACAAATAAAAATTAGATTCACAATAAAATGAAAAATAAACACTCGTTATTATTCAGTTTGAAAATCGTTATCCTGTCTACTTTCCCCAACACAAAACTTCGATATAAAAACATTATTTTCTGATTGTTGGTATAGTGGTAAAATGTGGTTTCTAACTTTGAAAGAAGAATCTAAGAACCTGAGCAGAATTAAGTGAATTGTTTAAAATATTATATAATGTAATTCATACAGATCACCTATTTGGTTAGAACAGAGTATACGATGAGATGTGAATGTAGCCAGAATGGGGGAGACACAGAGTGCACACAGAATTTATGTAAGAAAACAACTTGGAAGACTTACGCATTTCTGTCAAAAATCATGCTGCGTCTTCGGCCCCCTTCCTGCTTCCTTGGTTCTGTAGATGCCATGTTGACGATGCTTTCCCACTCTGTCCTCCATTCATCCTCTGAATACACAAACCCCGCCTCAGTATTCAGTCTAGTCTGCTGCCATCTCCAACGCCTCCACAGTGCTTCTCGACATTCACTGCCAGTCATAAATCCATGGAGAGCTTTGCGCAATGTCAGCAAGCGGTCATGGAAACCCCACATGCCTAATTCATTACAAATATTATTTTCAATAGATATTTATGCATATTTTGTACAAAGTACAGTGAAACGTCGATGCATCGTTTTTGGCGGGGGTGGGAAATAAAAACAATGAATGCGGGAAAGAATTCGGGAACAACAACAAAAGTATAGACTGGAACAATAACAGGAAGAATGGAAGTACTGTTACTGCCGAACACGACGAAACGTAGCCGTAGAAGACACTGAACCACTGGAAACGAGATGAACCAGAAGAATGAAAAGTGCCGCCAGCCTTTCCTTTGTACTTGTAATAAAAGCATTTGTGAAGAAATTCACAGTGCACATGCCATCTGGCATCGCTGGAACGAAATATGAGTGCACCCTAATTAAACTCATAAAATTTCTGACAATGGGCACCGCCATTCACTCCAACTATCACCCCTGCACCGCTGACCACTCATTCCAAAAGAATGTGCTGGTTGGGCGATATAACAGGTTACCGCTACTGCGTATTCTAAAAACATCGCGTAAATTTCGTTATAATTTCTCAGAAACGATCATTGCGGGAAAATTGTGGGCCAGGACTAAGATTTTTGAACGATCGATGCGATAAAACGATAGTTCGAGTAACGATAGAAGCGGGAAAATGTAACATTATTTTATATGGGATGTATCCGGGAACGAACAAAACGGACGATGCATCCGGGAAAACGATAGTTCCGGGAACGATGGATAGAGGTTTCACTGTACTGGAAACAAATGTATGATGGAAGATTACGTCTGTCTGGCTGTCTATCTGCTCACCTTCCACATGTTTCATGCCTGAAATGAATGGATTTCAGTTAAATTTGGTATTGAGATCCATAGTTACAAAACAAAATTATTAGTAAAGATGGCCGTCTTCTGGGATGTTGCACTATGCAGTCTAATAGATACTGCATCCATCAATAGGGTGATGAGTCAATATCTATTAGCCTACAATGTAAAATCCCAGAAAACAGCCATCTTCATGCTCATCACCATAAGAACCTGAAATCTCAACAAGATTACTGGTGTCCATTTATTTACTATTCTCTTGTTCAAGAAAATATGTAACAGTGTATTTAAATGTTGACTGATTTTGGTAATTTAAGTAACTTTACCCTTTCAATCTTATGGACTTAATGCTCCATTGAACCTGCTGAAACTGAAGAACAGCCACCTGGTTCACCATCAGCTGTGGATTCAGTGAGTCCACAATATGTGTAGGTATGATTTAGTTTAATAATAAATTTCTGAAGATGCACAAATTCTTACCTAAAGATGCCGCATGAAGCAAACAATTCCCATCACCAGTAGTTGCCAGTGGCCACAGTCGCTGACATGCACCAGAATCTGCCCACCAGTTAAGACGACCAGATTGTTCCAGTGATACCAAACTTGACATCTCAATCAGATCCTTCTCAAGAAAACCTCGAAAATCCTCTGACAAAACAATTGCAGAATCAAGTTAAAAAAAACAGAACACACAAGTATTTACGAACTGCAATGTCCCTACTCTTGAAATTTCAACACTTTTCCACAAAGACGTGGCAACCAGACTGACAATCTACACTGTTACACAACAGATTATGAACTGCACATAATGGACAATTTATATTTATTGTGGGAGAACAATCAGACATTTGAAAAACAACAAAGATGCTTATCTCCTGGGTTGTTGCACCATGTAACATTCTGGCTGTGTCAAAGTTTCAAAGGAATACAGTGCCTTCATCTTCAGGGCACAACAACACAGAAGATCACCATGTATTACAAACTATCAAATGGAATTGGATAATTCATACTGGTTAAAATATATAAAAATCCTATCTTTTAATGTACAGAAATAACATATCTTCAATGATGTGGTTGGTAAGTAATAAAGAAACTGTACATGTTTGAATTTAAACATTTAAAAGTTAACGCTTCCTAATTTTTATCTGTCCTCTGTACGCTTGTTGTATCAATGTACATTACACAAATAGATTATATGGTTGATTTCAAAACTGCACAACACCAGACTCACTTGATTCTTACCAGGGTATATAGTCAGATCTGGAAGTGTGAATGTGTAGACTGGAGTTTCTATAAAAAATTGATTCACACTGCATACTGCATTCTCTCTGAAATCCAGAGCAATGTCGGAACGTGCTCTCGATACCAAATTCACATTATCAGTGGCTCGGGATATACCTCTTGTTAACTTCTTGACTGGAACAATTGTTATATAACATCAATTTCAATTTCAGCAGTTGAAGTACAGCATGGTAAATAGATCTAAAACTCTCCCCAAAACACGGGAAATATACATGGAGATTCCACTTCCACCCCTATCTTGAAAATAAATCTTATCTAATCTGTTAAGACATATTCTCACTCTAGCTGCCCACTTAGCTAATGTGTTTTACCCAGAGCAACTGAATTTTAAATTATTCTGATAAACCTTAAGCTATAAAGCATTGTTCCTCAACCTTTGTAATAACATGTGACACTTGAAATTCTAAAATATTCTCGCAGCCTACCTTGTTGCATATACCAGTCTGTTCCTTTGGGTACGGTCTCCGACTATAATAGCCTGTGCTTCCGGGCAAAGTTGGAGGTAGAAATCCATATTTTCTGATAGTATTACTCAGTAGGTGTGATCTACATTGCTCTCAATGACAAGACGACAGTTTAGACTGAGATCTACAAATTAATGTGGAATATGAACCATGATGGTGGCCTGGTATTCTTCAAATACACAAAGTTTTGACCGTGAAAGTGAGAAAAAAGAAGATTTTCAGAAAACTCAACACTGGAACTAGATATCTTGAACCCAAGACCCGCACTGCTCCGCACCCACAGAGCATCAGGTCACCTCTATCGCCTTTCACAAAGAAATTATTTAAAACAATATGTCCACTAACAATTATTTTTCCATATACTTGTCTAGTATGGACATATTTCTGAATATTTACAATAAACAATAATTCTACTTGCTGACTACTGAATTTTTAATATTTGCTAAAACATGCAAATTTAAAGTAACAGTTATTGGTGCATGTTTGAAATTTTATAATAGGTGAAGTCAGACAATTGTCTTCTCTGCTTTACTCTCTCCTCTCTTAATCTTATCACACTTGTGTCACTGGTTGAGCAACATTACTGTAAAGAGTTTAACTAAAAAAATATCAATTTACTGTCAACTACATCGATAGCATCCGCTTTCTGAAGTGTTGGTCTTGATAAAGAGTGATGGGTATTTGTTAAGTTTCCATTTTCTTCAGTTAGAGGAGCAGACCAACGACTGTTGTACAGCTTGGTCACGCCACTGCTTCCACCACCGCCACTTCCACCACCACCACAAGACTCTGCAGAGAGATACAGGTAAGCCTGCAGAGCTAAATTCAAGTCCCATCCCTTTGCTGAAACAAAACAAAAAACAAGATGATTGGAAAGATAAACTCTTTGGAGTACACTTACATTCAAAACATGTTCCTCATGCTGCATCACATAGGCTGTTGTTGCACTAAACGTATCCAAGATCTTTGATGATTCTTGTCCTATGATCCCAGGTCAATGCTATGCAAAAATGGGAAACCCTGGACCTCACTGTTGCACAACAATGGGTTCCAGTGATGAGTCCCCTAGTCCCACTGTTGTGAAAAATGTGACAAAGACGCCCATAAGGTGTTCTTTGTCTGGAGGGATTGAGTAAAACTACAAAAAAACATTGGGGCAGCTCGTCTCTGGACCAGGTTTTCAACCTTAGACCTCCTCAATATGACGCAGGAGTACTGACAATTTGTCTGTGATGTTTGACAAAATGACAGTAAAGATGAAGATGATGGCTGGCAATGAGAACTTATAGTTTACCCTGAAAAGCCAAATGTAACTACATGTGCTAGCTGCTTTAACAACAAATAACTTTTTTTTGTTGAAATATTCATGTAACAACTACATGTGCTAGCTGCTTTAACAACCCATAACTTTTTTGTTGTTGAAATATTCATGTAAAGTGATTAAATTAATCTTTCATTCATGTGGTGGGTACAATCTTGTTAAAGTTACTTATGAGCCACCTGCACATTTCCAAACACAGGATCTTACCTTGTAAATAACTGTAGGCAACAGCTGAGTCTGCTCCAGTCTTGGCTATAAACTCTGCTACAAGGTTTGACTCCATTCCCCATCTGGAAAGCATTTCCATATATCACTTAAATACCAAAATACTATGCCATCAAATTTTAACCCTTTCACTGCTCACTCAATATGTACCTGTCCAGCAATATGCTGGACAGGTACATATTGAGCCTTATGGAACAGATATTTCGGATATGCAATGAAAGACTTGCATAGATTTCATTATCTTATATCTGAAATTTACCTCCTAGAACTGACACTTATTAAATACTACTAACAGTCACAGGCTGATCTGCTAGTTGCATAGAAATAGACAATAACAATCACACACCCTTCAAGAAAAAAGTAACAAGAAATCTGAAAGGAACACTGAATAACCTTCTCACCATTACATAAAATCATATTCTATAAGACATGCTGCAATTTCTATTTAAATTTATTCTTGTAAAGCACATGAACAGGATTGTAAATACATTACGGCCACTAAAAATAAGACAAATTAACATTATTCTATTTAAAATTATTTGTTTTAATATAACATATAAATGAGGGTAACATGCATAAAAAACGCCAGTTAAAATAATTTTCAAATCCATATTACAAGGAAATATTTCCTAAAAAGAAAGCAATAGAATGTTCTGCAGTTTTTATATAGTGTGGTTAGACTAGTTGCAGCAAAGAGTTCTTCACAGTTTTCTTGCACCATAGTTGGAACTTCTGCTGTACTTGTCTGTACTGGTCTTCTGGACTGTAACATGGTGTAGACCTATGCTGAAAATTAAGACAGTTATGTTTCTCTGAAACAGTGTTACAAGACAGAAGTCCAACATCAACATCTTCACTGACACGAGAATGTCAAGTCCTATCTACTGTATTTGATAGATTATGTCCATGCATCCCTTTTAACTTCCTAAAGCTATTCTTTTTAGGGAGCAATTCTGAATCAATAAAAGACATTCAGAGCAAATTTATGAGAGTACTGAAAGTATTTTCAGAAAATTACACCTGACAATACATCTTAGCATAGCAGAGATACTGGGAAGTACAAAAAGTCAAAAGCAGAGTTCTTCAATGGTGACTATACCCACCAGTGATCAGTAATAATAAAACAGAATGAATCTGAGTACTTAATTATCAGACCTGGTTTCACAATGACACATCACAGTTAATGAGAAACTTGCATTGCCATGCTTTAAAAATTATTAAACCCATCAGACACAATTTTAAACACAAATGTTGATCAAATATTTGTTGAAATTAAAACTGAACCCATTACTAAGGTGCCTACTACCATGACATACATATAATCTTACAAATCAGGATACAACCTTAAAAATATGCTTTACAAATATTTATTATTCAACTTTTCTTTAAGTCCTTCTGTATGTTTTAGATTAACAAAGCCTATTGTAAAGTGTAAGAGAAGAAATAGTAAATGAAAATCTCAGGACTTACACAGCATGATAATCAACACTACATGAAAAAATGTATCCATAAGTAAAATAACACTCACTAAACTCATGTTTACTTTGTATTCAAAGATACATCATTTTACTTTACAGCACTCAAGTGTTAACGCCTAACTAAATAAAGAATTCCACAAAAAAGCAATGCAAAGTCCTTAAAATAAACACAATTTATGAAACCTTTTGGCAATAACTTTAAAAGATATACTTTACTGGCGAGAAACTAAATTAGCAGATGTTTAGAGTCAAAGGACCAAAGAAGTGAGAAAGTGACTAAACTACAAGGAACTTCATCCACCCACCTCATAATGGTGTAGTGTCAAACTCACTGTGTGGTTAAGGTCATAAAAAATTATGTACCTATTTTTGGCTTCAAGTGAGCCACCAGGTTTACTGCCACAGTACATTGCAAACACTAGAGTGGAACTCTGCCAAATGTTATGTTTAAGCTTGACACTGAATGACAAAACACTTTAAAGAGACTAAGCTACAACTGTACAAACATATCATGTAATATAAACAATAACCATTGACTGAAGAGACAATGGCTTGCAGTTAATTACTAATTAATTCTCTAACAAATCACATTATTCTTGGTTTTTTAACAACAAATTTCAACTCCATATGTTGTACAGCATCAGATGGTGCCACAACAAGAAATAATAATGACTATCATAAATATGTACATAAGTTAGAACTTTATAATAGCAAACCGTCAGTAGCAGGTTGTTTCTTCTATAACAAACTGCCTACCATAATAAAACAAATAAGAAATAACAATCAGTTTAAGAAGGAATTGAAGGACTTTCTTATTAAGGGGTGTTACTATTCACTAGAAGACTATCTTAATGAAGAATTTTCGAATATTGTCTACTGATAATCTCAGTGTGCCAGCCGGCATCATCGAATTAGCATTTGTTTCTTAGTTACGGGCGTTTTGGTAGTGCATTACACCGACCCTCCTGCGATTTCGGAATGGCGTGTGCATCAAATTTTGCCAAAGACTCGCCAAAACGGCTACGGAAACCTATGAAATGCTAAAGCAAGCATTTGGGGAGTCCGCAATGGGTCGTGCACAAACTTTTGTGTGGCATTCACGTTTTAAAAATGGCCGAACCTCTGTCGATGATGACGAGCGTTCTGGACGACCATCTTCGAGCACAACGCCCGAAACTGTTACGAAGATCGACGTCGTACCATCACTTGTACGACTTGTGCGACATTGTTGGGATAGGCTATGGGGCCTGTCAGCTGATTCTAAAGGAAGAACTCCACATGCGACGCATCGCAGCCAAGTTTGTGCCAAGGCTCCTGTCTGAGGACCAGAAGCAGAATCGACTTTTCGTTTGTCAGGAGCTCAAAGATCTTGCAAGAACCGACCCCAACTTCCTTTCTAAGGTTTCCTCTTCCCAAAGATGAAAATTCAGCTAAAGAAAAGGAGATTTGAGACGATAGAAGAGATTCAGGCAGAATCGCAGATGGTGCTTGACAGGCTGACAAAGAAAGATTTCCAGGGATGCTTCCAGGCTTGGCAGCGGCGCTGGGATCGTTGTGTTCACTCCCAGGGGAACTACTTCGAGGGTGATGGATGAATTTAATACCTGAGAGAAGTGTACGGGTTTTTATACGCGCAGTCTTGAAACCTTTCGATCGCACCTCGTACACGAAATAAAGTATTATTATTATTATTATGATAAATTGGGAAGGTTGTGGTTATGGCCTGTTTTATGGCACTATCCCAGACCTTATCTGGAAAGACTATGGGACACCAGTAAAAACTTCAGTAATGACAGCCAGCTTTTGGTCCAAGATTTAAACCTGGCACATCCAAAAGCAGAAGTGCTAAGTACTAAATCACAATGTTCACCATACTCTCTATCAGAAATGATAAAATAATTTCATTCAACAAAACATTTTTTAAAGCAGTAACAGTTCATAATTAGGTAGTCTTATTTTATATTACTTAAACTGTAGTGTGTTTCTATATGTGCTTCATCAAAGGAAGCATTGTTAGTGAAATACAATTACATATGACAGAATGACTTGTGAATAGCACTCTCAATATTTTTATATGCATTATTATTATTGTTCACAGTTAGTAAAAATAAATTTGGAGTATTTAAAATCACAATGTTATTTTAAAATTTATGGTAAAATTGAATAAATAAAAGCTGCATAATTTTCAAAAGATATACTGACATACAAACTCTGGTACAACTTTACAATACAGTAACCTTACATTAAACAACTGATTACTATGTTTGTATATGCTTGTGTCTGCATTTTAGAAAATTGTATGTGATCAGTATTAAAAACACTGATACGATCTTCACACCCTCTGTAACAAATGTATTATCATAATTTACTTCAAATACTCTTCGGGCAATATAACTTTGGCAGTTATTCTACAAACATATTATACACAAATAGTTATGTGGCAAGAAATGAACTACATATTTAACAGAATATGTTTCAATGTAACCTCACCATTTCACTGTTTAGCTTAAGACTTTAATGTCTTCACAGACTAGATAACAACTAGAAAGCCTTTGTAAAAATATATACATAAATGGAAACATGAATATAAGAGGATATGCTTAATCCTAACAAACTTAAGCAAGCCTTACCACAAAAATTGAAAACCTTGTCCTTGATTTGATCCTACAATGCACTCCTGCAAATTGCACAACATGACTCACATTAATTTTGTGTATACAAATATACTATCAAATACATGCTGATATATACATATTTAAATATGTCAAAGTAATACATCACTTACAGCATAACAGAGGTCTGCACAGGCCCGGGCCTGGCAGCATAGACAATGATCAGATCTGGGCCAGGTTCGAACCTGGTTAAAGAGATAGCAATCAAACATTGCATACAAAATTTCATGCATTCTTGGACCATTCTTTTTCGCAAAGAAAAATGAACTCATAATTGTGCTCTTCTCATGCTCATAACACAGTTGAGCTCTGGGTAAAAATCTTACCAACTTCATTTTCTTGGGGATTTTCACAGCTGCACCCTCCCAGAAATAGTTCTAGATAACACCTCACAAACCTGGAATCTGATATATCTGTACTGTTCCTCAAATTCCAAAACAACCTCAGAATTTTTTGAGTGCCATTATTAAATTCATTCAAGAATTACTGGCACTTACAAACTGAAAGAAACATGCATTGGTGACAAGATAGTCAACACAGATTTAAATAGGTTGGACTTCGTTCGGACAGAAATAAAAGTAAGTCAGCCTTGGATGGGGCATAGGTAGCACATCTGAAGTAACTTTGGTTCAGGTCAAATGCTCCTTGAGCAGAGCCAGATGAAATTATAAAATTTCAGCCCATGCAAACCTCTACAATACACTTACCATTCAAATAGTTTTGTGAGAATGACAGATCATAAAATAAGTAAGGTATTGCCAATATATGTTGGAAATAATTTCTGCTACAATTCGAATTCGACACAATGCAACAATAAGGCCTGAATGTTTGTGTGACTGCCAATGTATTATTTACAGCATTTCTCTTAGTGTATTACATATATGTGTGTGTGTGTATGTGTATCCCCATCCTGCACAGACCTTCAGAAGCCAAATAGTACCCCCAGCTAGTCAACAATCACCCCACTTTTACAGAAGCTTAAGGTTCATTACCATGTTGACAAAAACTCATCAGCTGTAAATACACAGAATTTAAATACACTGACATAAGATCCGTCATCTCATTTAACCCTAGAATATCACCAAACAGACCGGATAATACAAATCTCTTTGGAGGCAAGTAAATGCAGTGCATAGTTTGCTTTTAAAAGAAAAATCCACTTTTAACACCTTTGGCGGATAGGTCATCTTACTAACGTAACAGACATTCAAAATTCTAACGAATACTTACGTGAGCTTCTGTGTCGTATATTATAAAGTTTCGATGTTCTTTTTACACATACATATAATATTAAATCACAGCCAATTTGTAAAGACGTACTAAACATCGCAATAACTAGATTCATATATATATAACCTTGGCCTAAATAGGCTAAGAAGTGATTTACTACAACGTACCACCAACATACCTTACTACGAAGTAAATAATCGACTAAACAAACTAAAACCAAAATACATTCATGTAGTGTAAAATCGGATGGTAGGTCAAGGCATACAATTAAATTAAAAAAAAAACGAAAACCAGTAAAAACTGTTTTAATCCTGGATCGACAGAGAGTCAGAAAATCTCATGGCAGAAATAAAAGAGATGCACTAGTGCCTTTAATACTGGTAAATTTTACAAAACAAATTATCGGTTTAAATCTATCAAACACTTCTCGTTATGAGGTTCTATATTGGCTATCCTGATTTATCAATGGTGGAAGAAAGTTAGGAAACAGTTGATATGACGTTTGGCGTCAGCTTCCACCATTAAAACAACTCGAGAACAGTATGCGAGTGTGTCTCTGTAGTGTAGAATTTTACAAAAAATTGTCATATCATTTGAACTTTCGATATTTCATTTCTTGACAATAATCGTTCCATAATTTTATAATGGCTGTCTGATTTAACAGTGGTGGGAAGAAGTAAGATGTTCATGCACAGCTAATGTTACGTTTGTCATTTTCATGGTCCAAACTGGAGAATAGAAAACTGCTTTTGCTGTATGTATCTATAACTAACTAACTAGATGGCTTACGGAACCCGAAGGTTCATCACCGAATTAATCAAAGTCCTCCACCGGACCCTGCCCTGGGCCAACAAAATCCAGTCTCCTTCAACTCCCATCTCCGATAGATCCCGCCTGATATTATCCTCCGATCTACGTCTGGGTTTCTCCAGAGGTCTTTCCCTCAGGCTTCCTGAGCAATACCCGGTGAACACATCTTGCCCCATCCTTGCGCGCCACATGACCCGCCCATCTCATTCTTCTTTACTCAATTACCCTGACAATATTGGGGGAGGAGTACAAATTTTTAAGCTCATCATTATGCAGCCCTCGCCATACCCTATCGTCCTCTCTCCTAGCCTCAAATATCCTCCTCAACACCCTATTTTCAAACACCTGCAATGACTGTTCCTCCCTCAGGGTGAGAGACCATGTTTCGCATCCATACAAAACAACAGGCAGAAATATTGGTTTCCATACTTTAATCTTCAGGTTCTTAGAAATCAGACAAGAAGACAAAATATTTTGAACTGAGAAATAGCAAGCATTTCCATAATTTAGTCTCCTAACCTCCTCATAAATATTATAATGATTTTTTATTGTTGTTCCCAAATATTTGAACTCTGTCACACTTTCAAAGGATTTATTAGCCACTCTAAGACAATTCTGTCCGCCTGTCTGCTGTCAGGATACCAACATGTATTTAATTTTTTCTGAATTTACTGCAGTATGGAATATAAATCAATTTTATTTGAGTATGTTTTAAACAGGTATGAATTTCTCAATGGGTTTTAGTTTACTTAAACAAAAACACACTGCAGGCATATAGAATTTTCAGGTTCAGTATTGGCGTCAGGGTGCTTTCGTTTCGCTGCCGTCTTTTATTTGTATAGATCTTATTTATTCCCCACGAGAAAGAGTACCGAACTGTAGATATATATTTCTCCTTTGGATAATTTTCATGTTAATTAACTTGATTTTGAACTGAGAAGTTATGTTAAATAAAAGCGTTTTCTACGATGGGAAATTGACCTTTTGCATTTTCTTACTTGGATGGTATAATGTTAGTAATATTTTTGTTTCTATCTTGCTAAAATAATTTCATATTCTGACCATTATAGCTTAGTTGAATTTAAAGGGAAGTTGGGTGAATAAATATTTATCTTGCGATAAAAAACATTCGCTACAGTCTATAGTGTCAATTAAAACGGGATAGCGGCCAATATGACAGTAATAGCTGTCGACCCACCATGGTTTGGATAATCTATGGTTTGGATGCACCTTATTTACTCCCACCAAGGGACGTACCAATATGATTATGGAAAATGGCTACGTTATCGTCAGGAAAGGGATATTCTACGTTCGGAAACCAGGATTATTATTGTGGTAATACCTGGAAATAGAGTTTCATCAACAGAATTACTTGAACGGTATTTCCTATAAACTCACAAAAATACAGAAGTAATTCTTTTTTATGGAAGTGGTTTTCATGTAATTTGTCCATGGTGGGTATATAATATATATGAATGTTTTGAAATTGATTCTGTGTGTTCGTTAACGTCATGGCTAGCTGCCCTAAAAATGCTTAAGGATAAATAAAATATACTTTTATAACCAGTGTAGCATGTTTCCATTACTGATATTTCGTCACCGCTCGTAAAATTAGAAAACAGTGTACTGCTACAGCATAACATACTTAATTTGCACCTTGGTGAAGAATGAGATGGTATCGTTGGCCTCGAGGATGGCTGTAAGCATGACTTGAAGAGTGTTGGAACATTTGGGTAAAGGCCTCATTTTCTATCATATAGCAAGGCATGTTCCCATCAAGCTTGCCAGATATTTTATTAGATATCTGCAGTCATGCTAATGATGTGCTTCAGGGGAACTCGGCTCTTAGGCATTTTTGGGAGCAAGTATATCCTGGGTATCCTCAGGCCATGTGGTTGTTGATGTTTGACAACCCCTGAATGTGAAAGTATTTAGATGAGAACTGCATGTCTCTGTTCATTTATTTGTGTGGTATCGTTGGTCAGTTATACAGGATCTTCTGGAAGGGTGATAGGTTTTAATTTGTAATCCTCAGTTTCAGTACAAAAGCATTGCCCTTGTTGATTGGTGTGATTCTAAAATTACCTTGTAGTAGCTGCCTTTCTGCTCTCACCAATTATATTGTTGGTGGGACTGGGAGGTGCAGTGTAGTTCACATCTTTGACAGGGCTGAATGCATAGCATCATCCAGTGGTGAATTGCTTAGCATCACAACACACTCTTTATTTTAGTTTCGCATTGAAGTTATTGCAGAATTTTTTATTAAAACTTCCTGTTTCTGGTATGCATTTATCTTCCCTTCAAACTGCCATAACTCTTTAACCTTACTGAATTAGATTCATGTTAATATGGCATGTTTTACTCAGAATCATTTGATTAATGTAGTGATGAAGTTTATCATTTCTAGAATCAATCTCTATACTGTCATTCTTTCTTTATGCTATCACTTACAGTTTATAAGCAGACCTGTTATAGCTGTTGCCACCCTAAGTTGTGGCAGTGATATTTCAGGCCTGTGAGAACCACATTTTTTATTTTATGCTGTCTTATCTTTGTGTGTCAAGGGCTATAATATGAAATTTATTTTCCAGTTTTTTGTTTTGTGTCATTGAAGTGGAATGTATTACCCAGTTTGAGTTGGTAAAGTCTAACTTATGTTACAGTTGAGTTTGAATAGTTTGTAACTGCATAAAAGAAGCAAATTTGAATTTCCAGTATTTTGTATTCAGGGATATGATCAGCAGAAGTAGCTTAGAAGCTGCTTGTGAGGCTGCAGCCAAAGTTAATGCTGTACTTATTGCAAAAGGGAAATTAAAACAACCTGCCCCTCAGATCATAAAGGTAAGCTCAGTAATGTTAATGCAAATGGTGATTAAATTTTAGTTTCCATGTTAATTCTTTTGATGGAATAGTAATTCATAAATTTACATGCAGGTAGGAAATAGTTTCCGGACCTCTGCAGATTTATTTACTTCAGAATACGAAATTAACGAGGCTCCGATAGCTGCGCGCAATCTGCTCACTAAGGGACATACACAAGAGGAGATAAATCAGTTTTCAGGTACGCAGTTGTTTAATTTCTTAATTTCAGAATGACAGTTGAGTGTGGCATGAGTTGTACAGGGAACTGTAATATGTCATTTGAAATTTGGAATTTCTATCCAGGTGCTGCTGTGTCAACACGTGGCAGGTACCTGAACCTGGAGGAGCGTACTAGGAATCCAGGCGAGAGGTCTTTGTATCTTCATATTCAGGCAGCCACCAAACAGGCTATTGATTGTAAGAAGAAACAGTGATGCTAAATTTGGATCCTTACATAAATGCTGAAATCATCTGCAGTCAACATGATGTTGTGATAAAGTTGTAATAGATATATGCAAGGCTTGTTATCTAATTAAACAGAATACTATTAAGAGTAGTAGGACAGTGTTCCAGCTTGAATGGTAACTTCAGTACTTACTCTACCAAATGATGCATTACAGGATTAATAATAGTGGTTCAGTGAAACATGTCTTTGTGGGGTAGAATATTTCTTTGATTTTAAGGAGATTGAAGGTTAAATAAAACTTAACTTAACAAAACTGATTACAAAATTAGCATTGGTCCCACATTGTGTAACCCTCCTTTGACCCTTTCCACAATAACTTTGTTCTTGTAAGTCAGTTTTATTTAGACTCAGTAATAGGAACTAATCAGGAGGCAGATTACAAATAAAATAGAAGTTTATAGAAGATAGGATATTCTTATTTGGAAAGGATTGATAAAATATAAATGTTTATTCCAGAGTTTGAATTAGCTTTTAAATCTGTTAAACACAATCAATGTTATTAGCTGTAACTGCTGTGCATAATTATATAGTATTTTTTAGTGTAAAACCTAAGGTGGCTTACAGATAGCTCTACTTTTAATGTTTTCACTTCTCTTATGTCCGTGCTCACTTATGATAACTGTGGATTTTGATGTTAGTAACATTGTTTTTTGTGAAGAAAGTCTTTTACTCACTGCTGTGAGAACCTCAGATCTAACATTGGTTTTTACATTTGTAATTTGAAATGTTTTAGTTTTGTTTTGTTGGTGTTTGTAATTGTTAGAGCTCATCCATTATAGCATATTTATTTTAACTGTGGTTGGTGGCTGAAGTATGATGTGTGCATTCTGCTGTCTCGTAATACGAGTGATATTGCTCCAGGATGTACGCTAAGTAACCTCTCGGTTACTTTCCAGTGGCAGTCCAGAAAATAGAGGAGATTATACAGCAACACCAGATGGATCAGCTTCCACCGCTTGGTCATCAGAGCAAATTCAAAATGGGACCACCTCAGCAAAATATGCCACCACCATTGATGAGCATTCATGCTACAATGCCTTCTGTTGTAAGGACAAGTTTCAAGTTAATATAATGTAATCATTTCAGATATTTCTCATCAAGTCATGTATTTTATCTGAAGAGTTTCAGCTTACATATTGACATGATCTTCTTTAATTCATGTAACATATTTTGTGTAGATGACATAAACACAGTGGGAGGCTGATGGAGTGTGATATTTTAATGGAATACATTTTCTAATATTTTAGCCAAATTATTTGCATATTGATATTTCATCATTTTATTTTTGGATCTGAATGTTTATAAGTTATTACATTTTTGTTGTAGGATTTTACAGTAGGTGAGGTTTAATATGCTAGAATGTTTTTGCAAAATTTATGAACTGTGTCAGTTGGGTCATTGCTATGATTGTTTGCATTCAGTGAAATGCATAGCTGGATCTTGTTTTAATGTATGACAGATACACATTCCGAACACTTGAAATTAACACCTTTAAAAATTTATTTATTTGTGTTTCATTCAATGCATGTAACTGTATTTTGAAATCATGCTAATTTTAGATTACTCTGTACAAATTACTACTTCTAGTCTTGTAGGTATCAGGAGTTTAGAAGCAATTATAAAGAGTAGGCTGACATCCTATGTTATGGTATTGATATGTGACGTGTGCATGTAAGAATTTGAGGGATGTTGCTCGAGGTTCTCATAGAAGTGAAAATTTATATTGTTGTCTTATGGGTTATGACACTAGTCTTTTTGTTGGGGTGGTTACTATACTTTTCCTTATTATTATTATTTATTTACCCCTTTGCATTTAAAAAAAAAATATTTTTCTTCTTCTCTTTAAGATAGGCTACAAGCCTGAGTGTGAGTCACTCCTCTTACGTGGTCTGCCAGGAAAATGTCATAGTTCATTATTCATTAATCATTCTGTCATTATGTGCTATAGTAAAACATAAGCAAATAAAACCAGATTGCAGTTAATAATTATTAGTCTTATATCTTACCAGAAGAAGAGATAGGATGATGGGACACATTCTGAGGCACCCAGGATTGGTTAATTTGGTATTGGAAGGAACAGTTGAAGGGAAAAACTGTAGGGGGAGACAAAGATTGGAATATGTGACGCAGATTTTTGAGGATGTGGGCTGTAAAAAATATGTGGAAATGAAGAGACTGGCGCAAGATAGGCAAAAATGGAGGACCGCATCAAACCAGTCGAAAGACTGATGGCAAACAAACAACAATAGTAAATTATAAATTTAATGCATAATAACTATTCATTGGCATTAAGATGATAATATGTAAGGAAGAATTAATGTATTTTTGATTCTCATTTTCAGGAGAAAGTTTTGATTGGTCTTGAGCATGCTCCACCAACATTTGATTTACGAAATAAGTTGATTGGACAAGGAGGAGCTAATCTTCATTATATCCGCAATGAAACAGGAGCAATGGTCACTTTACGAGGCAAAGGATCTGGCTTCATAGAACCTACAACAGGAGCAGAGTCCATGGAACCTCTACATCTGTGTGTGGAGTATGTGCTAGTTAAGAAACACTTGATTACATTTCATTAAAATAAATAGCCTGCAGTAAAACCATTGTCTAACAAGCTCCTTTTTAAAACAAAAATTACTTTTCACCCTACTTCATTATGCATTCTTTGTATGTTAATGCACAAATTGAATGCTTGTGTGGTGACCCTGTCAATGCATTTTAACTCTTAGAATTGCTGGATGAATTTTTATTAAATTTTGTGTAACAATAGGTTTTGGGACTTATACATTTTCATAAAGATTATTGTTATAAAGTTATACAATCAGTTTTTGAACTGCAAAACTCATTTCATCTTCATCACTATATATTTCACTCTCCCACTGTTACAGATTATAATGTTTCTGTTAACAGGTTCCTCAAAAACTTTATTTATTCCAAATTCAGACCACATAAAAGGCTAGGATATGTCATATTGTTTACTGGTCGATATAGTGTCAATGTTGAAAAAGACAGGACAAAATTTGGAAGGAATGGAACCTATAATGTTTAAAGGTCTTGTGGTCCAGATAATATGACAGAAATCTAATATATAATGCAGCAGTAACTTTTTGTTTTGGTGCCTGCTGGCTTGGGTTAATATAACACTTTTTTTTTTCAAACTGTGACTGTCGAGTCATAACCCAATTCTCCTTTTGGAAGTCTGGATTTCCATGGTGGGAAAGCTGTGCGAAGCTGTGAGACTGCTTTGTCAGGTTTAAAGAAAAAGCATGAATTGACATTTATTTGCACGTTATATTTCAGGCATTCTAAATTTGAAGGACTCCAAGCTGCACAACAGCTGGCGGTGAATTTGATAGAGACGATGCAACAAGAATTTGCTCAGTTCCAACAACAGCAGCAACACCAACAGCAACATCAGCAGCAGCAGCAGCAACATCAGAATCAACAAATAAACAACCTTGCATTACAGCAGGGTTAGTGTATTATGTCATAGTACTTTACTACTGAAATAAAATTAATTTTTATTACAGGGTTGTTCAGATTGGAATAAAGTTAGTTCTTAATGCATGTTTCACTAAAATATGAAAGTAAATGTTTCTGAATTTGTCTCTTAGAAAGACTTTTTTACAGATATAAAATAAGCAACAAACAACTATTAACACTATAAAAAAAGACACTATTGCCATACGCGTTTCAAACTCAAGAGGTCATCAACAGTGGCAGCAGGGAAATTAATTCATATAATCAAATGGTTTAAACTGGATTTGGAAAATAAATAATGAATAGGTATTTAACAAAGTATTTCAAGCAATAATGAATAGGTATTTAACAAAGTATTTTAAGCGACACTAGATGTTTTTATTCACAAGGGTTGAACTCTGCACTTAGCTATTGATCGGATGGTCTGGTGGCCGTAGCTGGTCTGTGACGAGCTGTGGTTGAGTCGTCCGTACCTGTGAACTCCAGAGTTGTGGGTGTGAGACTGTTAGTTGGATATTAAATTTGTGACATTTTGGTTTTGCTCAATACTAAGACAGTAATCATTACTTTTTGTGTTTTATTTAGTACAGTGTTGATGCATTGATTGAAGACCAGTGTTACGTTGTTACAACCCACCAGTGGTCACAATAATGTCATGATACCTGTCATGTTTCAAACGTTTTTTAAACTTTGTATCAGCAGTGGATATTGTTTGTTTTATAGCTAGTTCTTGTAGATGTGATAGACTCTAAGTAGTTACAACTTTTCTCATCTAGATGCCATATGAATGTGGTGTAATTAAATGAGAAATTAGTTCAAGACAGTGGTCTGGATGATGAAAACTGATGGTAGTGATAGTGGTGGTTAAAAAAAAAATAATGAGAATGTTAGCTTTGAAACTTTCATGGCAAATTAATAAAGTAAAAAGTAATAGTAGAGTGCTTCTTTTGTGTTTCCAGCTCAGTTCCAGACTGTGAGTGTGGGAGGTTTGGCTCAGCCTGGTTTGGTGACCTTACAACATCATCAGTCTATACAACCCCAAGGTATTCACAACACAGCTTGGTCAGTTTTTAGATTCACTCCTAATGCCAGTTATTAGTGTGTGCATGAATGTAACCCAAGGAGGTAATATTTTTTCTTGTACTGTGTTGTCAGTTTATGTATATTCCATTATCCGATGCTTAACAGAAATGTCATAAATTTCTTGTGTTCAAATTTTCTGTTTTTAAAATTTTTACATGGTATTTCACTTCATGCATGCTGATATATTTAATGATACCTTATCTCAAAGGCATTTTTGCAACTTAAAATTGAAGTAAACATGTTTATCATTTGTTTGTAGGAATTACTGTTGTAATTCATTTAAAGAAAGAGCAAAAGTTGTGAAGATTATTTGTCTGAAGGTTATGCAGGCATTTTGTGTTTGACAGATGAAAGAATTATAATTCTGATTTTCTAGAGCTTATGCAACAGCAGGGAGCTATTCCTGGGCTGGTGGCTACATCCATATCACTTCCAGTTGTTTCTAGTGTACCTGCAATATTTACCAGTCAGATGCCACAGCAACCAGGTAATTATGCTGTGAATAGCATGGATTGGAAATGTGTTATCTTAGTGTTGAATGCAGATTTAAGTTGACTGTCAGATGTTTAAGATAGCAAATTAAATCATAAATGTGTCTTATCCTTAAGCTAATAAAACTACAATTTTTCCATTTCTTGTCCTTAGTTTTTGTGGTTGTAGTTTGTGTACAACTTCAGCTGACAGAGATGAGCCACATTGAATGTTGAGAATTATCTAACATTTGAAAACATTCATTCACCCTGAAGAAGGTATTTGTAGTCTGTGCTGAAATGTATTCTCAGTATTTGATGCAGCTCATCCCTGAACGCAGAAGTCGTAGAATATTACCATTTGTTTCGTATGAATGTGAAACTTTATCTCATTGCAAGGGAAGAGCATACACAGAATTGGGATATTTGAGGATTTTGAGCTGAGGAGAGTGTTTTTACTTGACATAGAGGAAATAAAATAGGGTTTGGAAAATTACGCAGTCATGGCTTTATAATTTGTTCTCTACCAAATTTTGTTTGGATGAAAACTTCAAGGAAGATGAGATAGAGAGGACTTTCAGCACAACTGAAGAAAGTGAGAAATTCCCATAAAATTTTAATCTTGAAATCTCAGAGGAAATGTCCACTTTAGAGAGCTTGAAGGAATATAGGCTCATAAGTTCCTTCTAGAAATTGTGATCAATTTCTGTCCTTAGTTGCACAGTTGTCTGGCCCACCACCACTTCTGGGTGTTCCACCACCTCACTTAACACAGCAACATCAGCAGTTGTTGCAACAACATCAGCAACAGCAGCAGCAGCAGCAACAACAACAGCAACAACAGCACCTGTTGGCGCAGCAGCAGCATTTACAACAGCAAGTTCAACTTCCACCTCCAGGACTTCATATACCTACGCATCAGGGACCCTTGGTTCCTCCACAGCAGCAAGTCTCACATCAGCAGCAACATCTGCAGGTACTTGAGTGTCAGAGCTCAAGAAATATGCCACCAGTATACTAGCTACTTTACATAATCCACTCATCCATGATGTCTTGCACCAAACTTAAAACCCAAGAAGTTGAAATCAGGTGATGTATTCTTCTTCTTCTATGGCTCTCCAGTCCGTATTCGGTCCATGGCCTCCTCAATTCTCCTCTTCCATTCGGTCCTCTGTTAAGTCCGTCTGTCCGAGGCTTTGATTGAGGTTTTGAAACATCTTCCTTTTTATAGTGCAAGGTTGTTTGCCTTGCGACCAACCCCCAACCTGGAGGACCAGGGTACCTGTCTCAGTCTGACCTCTCCCCCTCGACCAATCTGGCTAGGGTGGCCCTACCAGTAGCTATGCTACCGCCAGCATAGCTCTTGGGGTCGCCGAGGTACTCAAGCCCCACCACCACGACAAGGTGCAGGTTCCATTAAGTGGGGAGGTGATGTATTAATTGCACATAATTTGCAGAAACAGAAGTCATTGATGTGGTCAAAAATTTAATGGGCCTGAAAAAAGGTAATGTAAATCATGGGGAGAATGTACATTCTGGGAATATAAACATGAAATGCGCTATAGATAGGGACCATAAAGATGAGACTCTTGTCCAGGAGGTCCTGGGCTTTATCACTTGACAGATCTGTGCGCATTTAGTGAAGCCTGTGTTTCTGCCAAAGCTTAGACTTGAGACTTTGGAGAATTTCAGGCCCTCTTCAATGTGGTTCAAGTTCATTATTCTCCATTTAAATCTAAGTGAACTTTAAAAAGGCCAGGACACCTCTCGTCCACATCCGTACCAACTCGAAGTTCATAAGTGCACCATAATTTTTTGTTGATGCTGTATGACCTTTGCAGTTAATGCAGCAGTGTTAATTAACTTGGACAAACTAGCATCTAATGATGTGATTATTGTCAGGCTGTGATGCAACAGCAACAATTGCAGCACCAACAGCAGCTTCAGCAGCAGCAGCAACAGCAGATTCATCATCAACAAATGCAGTCACATCAGGCACAGGTGTTACTGCAACAGCCACCACCCGGTATTCCAGTGCAAGGGCAGCCACCACCGCAGAATGCTTTAACGTCAATGCCGCAGCAGCTGGTGGCACCTCCTGGAATGGTGGTTGTGAGCCAGTCAGGGGCAATGGGAACAACTGCTGTTGTCACCTCTCAACCTCAGCAGCCACCATTAGTTCAACAGCCTCAGCCCCATGTCCCACCAGGTGTGTTATTGTCTTACGCCAAGCACTGTATTCCAACATCTGTTCTGTAGTCAGTCCTGTCATAGGGGTAATGGCATAATACGTGTTAACTGTTCATTGTTTACAAGATTTGAGTTTCTCGCAGCTGCCAGTGTTGAGACTGTGATCTGCTGGGTTTCAATATTCTGTAGCGTTTTAGGTGATTACCACAAGATCACAGTGTGTTCAGTGTTTATTTATACAGTACTTTCTTTATGACTAGTGAGGTTATGTAGCTTTGAATAAGAGGTATATTATTATGAATGGTAATTATAGAGGATTAGGCAAGGTAATGGATGACTTTCTTTGCTTTCATGAAGTAACAGAAATATTGTTGGCAGGTCATCAAGGTCTGGCACCTCCACCAACAGCTGTCCCACCGCCAAACCAGGCACTCCCACCACATTCTTATGGAAGTCCACATATCTATGTCACAACGCAACCACCACCATCATCAGGTGCCCAATTGGTGCCACAGCCACCACAGCCAGTGCCTGTTCCATCCCAACAGCCAAATCAAGAACCTCCACAACCTGTTCCCATGCCAAACTTAACTGGTCAGCAGCAGCAACCACCACAGCAGCACCATCAGCAGCCACAGCAGCTTGGTAACATCGGAGCTCCACAGCAACCGCAGCATGGTCAGCAACTACAGCAGTTACCACCACAGAGTTTTGTGGGTGGGCCTCCTGGAACCCAGCCTGTCACCATTTCTTATCCATATCAAGTAAGATGGGCCATTATCACATATCACTTACTTTTTAGCAGTAAATTTTCTTCATATCTGTCACATCATCTTTGTCTTAACTTGTGGGGTAATTGCATACCACTGTGCTGTTTTTCTGTGCTGGTGGTGATATTGCCATTGGTGTTTCAGTGCCAAACTCTTGCCTTTCTCTTTATTGCAGTCTGAAATGTGTGTTATGTACCAAGGCATTGTGTAGTACCTTAGTTACAGTGGATGGTTTGTATCAGGTTAGGAAAAGAATCAGGCTTTGCTGGTTGCTATAGCTCTTTTGCCTAGAGGTTCATTATAGAAAATCCGTTCCTGAAACATGGGCATACAGCCAGAATAGTACACAGTGTAGAACCCAGAAGACAATCATATCTGTAACTTCATATGTAGTCCTTCTATTATCTTAAAACATGACTGTCATTTTCTTCATTCCAGTATATGCAAAATTCTATACCAGCTCCTGCCAGTTACCCAGCATTTGGACGTCCAGAACCTCAGCAGGCTCCACAAGGAATGCATGCCCAAATGCAACAGCAGGGGCCCCCAGTTCAAAATCAAGGTCCACCCATCCAGCAAGGCCCACCTATACATGTCCAAGGACATCCATTGCAACATCAAGGTCAACCCTGGCAACAGGGTCTACCCATGCAAGCACAGGGCCCCTTACAGAGTCAGGGCCCTCCTTTACAAGGGCAAGGACCACCTATTCAGAATCAAGGCCCACCAATGCAGACCCAGGCACCTCCATTACAGGGTCAGGGTCCTCCTCTGCAAACTCAAGGGCCTCCACTGCAACAGGGACCACCAATTCAAGGACCTGGAATTCAACAGGCAGGACCCCCATTACAAAATCAAACTCCACCACAGGGTCCACATTTACAGCAAGGTCCCCCTTTTCAGCAGCAAAATCAAGGTTCCCCTTTACAAAATCAGAACTCACAACTTCAAAATCAAGGTCCTCTACAGAATCAGAATGCCCCATTACAAATAAAACAAGGACAAGGGCCACCTCTTCAGCAACAACAAGGACCTCCCATGCAGCAGCAACCACCACCTCAGTTGATGCAGCAACAACCGTCGCCTCAGCAGCAACAACAACAACAACCATCACCTCAGCAACAGCAACAACAGCTCAGTAAAGCTGGCCAGAAGCGGCGCTTCACAGAGGAGCGTGAAGAATCTCAGGAAGGTTTTCAGGTAGGAGACATGCTATACAAAAAATAGTTTTATAGTAGGTATCTGTGTAATCTCCTAATGCACTAAAAATAATTAATTTGTGGAACTGAATGATGCAACACGTACAGGTAGTACATTGAATAAGTATCATATTGGTGGGGTCTGCAGTGGCCGCACAGTCTGAGGCGTGGGCCTTCTGCCGCTTGGTCGCTGGGACCGTGGGTTTGAACCCCACTCAAGCCATGGATGTTTGTCCGCGTTTTTCTGTGTTGTGTTGCCCTGTGTACAGGTAGACGCCTTGCAACGGGCCGATCCCTCGTCCAAGGAGTCCTACCAAATGTCTATAGATCAAGCCAATGAAAAGTTGGGACCCACAGTGCTCAGGCACTTGAAGAACGGGTCGTTCCCATTATCCCAGTATCATATTGGCATCTGTGGTTCACTGGGGGCAGACAAGTTGAGAAATAGGTTTGAAAAGGGACACCATTTCTTTTAAACCTTAAAATATAAAACTTTTTTGGGTTTATGTGGGAATAAAACTGTTTTCAAGAAAAGGTGTTAGGTAGGACATGTACTTAAGCTAGTTTCCTTGACTTTAACAAACATATTCTTAAACATCAGAATAATATGAAGTGTATACAGTAGTCTTGTCACTTCTCATTCTTATTTAATCCTCCTGTTACTCATATTATCTTTACATGAACCAGTGTTATACATGACCAGAATTTATAGAGAATTCTAATTACTGGGTATTTTGTCATCCAGGGCAACCGGTCCTTAGCTTTAGGACAAGGGCCGCCATCCTCAACTGGAGTTCAGCATGCAAGGCAGGGTGTGGGGTAAGTCAACATATTGTTTATTACAGTGTTATTGTTGTTATGGGTTCCATTGCATTTGTTGAACTGTTGTAATATACAAGATAAGGTGAGACTGGACAGACGGTGTACCAAAGTAAGACTTCAAGGACTCATAATTGAATGAAAGAATTTGTTGTTTTGTTAGCATAGGAGGCATATTAGTCCAAACTGTCTAACCAAGAACTGATGAAATCAAGTGAGAAACAATTTGTATTGTTTCCTACTTTGTGTGTGGTATTTACTTAAGTAAGTTCTCTGATTTTTCTCTCTTGCCTGCTTCCCAGTGATACTGACATTTGTATGTATATGTGTGTGTATGGATCATTCACCTTGGGAGATTATTGTTTCTTGGTAGTTTCCAGTTTATATATTATCTTTAGGATTTTTGTTCTGCAACTGATCTCAACTTTATGCCCATTTTTATTTGTTACGCCTATTTATTTTTCATGGTTTCACCTGTATTTTTCCTTCATGTTGCTATATTTTATGATTCTGATACTGTTCTTAGTTTCTCTTCTACTTCACTGATTTTTTTTTAAATTGAATAAGTTCAACGGAATGCCATTTTGTGGTATAGAGTGTGTGAGATCTCTGGCAAGGTCTCCCTGGTTTTTTATATATTACATTATTGTACAAGAGTTTCTAGTTTATTTGTTGTTTAACTAAAAGGTGGGCATGATTTTGAATAAATCTAAAGAAACAGAAAGCT